GGTCTTCTCACGATTTTAATCCGGAGGATTAAATCCGCCAAACTCATATCCTTCATGTCAAATCTCGAATTTAACATATATGTCCTTGGTAGATTTGATCATTCGATCGTTACTACTCACATAAACAAAGAATGACATAACCATCTATCGTTTCCTTAACCCAGACACACTTGTCACTTTTGTTTATATTAAACCCATTGGTTAACATCGCATGATCAAACTTCTCGTGCCACTGCTTACGCACTTGTTTTAAACCTTATAACGATTTAACCAATTTACAGACTTTCTTCTCTTGGCCCGGAACCACAAAACCATCATGTTTTTCCATATAGATTTCTTCATCTAACTCGCCACTCAAGAAAGATCTTTTCACATATGAACGTCCAAATTTCACAGAGCGACCATGGCAAATATCATTCTAATGAAATTTATTCTCGTCACGGGAGAATACGTATCGAAGTAATCAAGGCCCTCGCGTTGCTCGTATCCTTTAATTACAAGTTTAGCCTTATACTTCTCAATGGAACCATTAGGCTTCATCTTCTTTCTAAAGACCTACTTGGATCCCAAGGGCTTACTATCCGGAGGAAGATCAACCAGTTCTCAAGTGTGATTCTGTAGGATAGAATCTCCTTCACTTTTTATAGCATATTTCCACATTAGTACTTCCACAGAAGTCACAGCTTCTACATACGTTTGAGGCTCGTTTTCTAACAAACATGTCAGAAAATCCGATTCATTTTCTAGTAAACAAGTTAGAATATGCGTATCACACTCCAACATGTACGCTAGAAAATCTGGACCAAAGGATTTTTCAATCCTAATTCGCTTGCTACGTCTAACTTTGAGCTCGGGTTCTTTTCAGACCCTCGATTGTCATTATCCCAAAAATAATAATCCTACGAAAAGATTATAATTATATGGGAAAAGGCAGAAAACTGGGAAGGAAAAGGTGGATGATTTGGATTGTGGTTAGCACGAGTTTGAACAAATCGTTCTTTTCTTTAAAACCTTATTTGCTACCTCCCACAAGTGCTAGGAGCGTTGTAGCCTAGGTTTTCCAGGATAAGACGTGCTACGATTCAGTGTTTGAGCACTCAAACAAAGAATCCGGCGAACAAAGAAAAGTATAGAACACACTTGGCTAAAGAAGAGAGTAGAAGCAGAGTTTTGGGAGCTGAAAACGTAGTGGAATTCCTTCAATTTCTTGTCTTCAAATGCAGCTGCTCTACCCCTTCTTATATAGGGTTGAGGAAGTTGAATAGCCTTTAATATGACATTTAAATTGGTATTAAAACCAATTGTGTAACACCTGCAACAGTCATGCCCACTAACTGGGATTAAATTCAGAATTCAAAAAATTTGAATTAAAGCAATATTAATTCCGTAACGGATGAATTTAATCTTCACAACAGCTTGGACTCGGCGAATAGGGTTGAGGAAGTTGAATAGCCTTTAATATGACATTTAAATTGGTATTAAAACCAATTGTGTAACACCTGCAACAGTCATGCCCACTAATTGGGATTAAATTCAGAATTCAAAAAATTTGAATTAAAGCAATATTAATTCCGTAACAAATGAATTTAATAGCTTGGACTTCGCCACACACGAGCTTAGGCTTAATTCATGCCTTTTGCACCCCTCCCCTTGCGGGCGAAAGAAAACATCTATGATATATAATTCAATAAGTTTTAAAAGGGCTCTTGTATAAATAGTGGTGCAAATCCACTTCCAAAACCAATGTGGGACAAAAGCTTCACTTTGTCCCTTCTTTTTCCAACTCAAATGGGTCTACTTTGAGAATCAATATCTCATTCACCCATTATCAGTTTTGAGCGTACAATATATCAATCTCTTCGTCTCACTACGGAGAATCCAAATCAACTTTAACCCGACCCAAATCAGAAGTAGACCACACTGATAATTGTACCACAAAATAGCCACTTAATATGCCATTTTAAGCTATTTTTCCAACAAAGAGTTGCAGTATATAGTTTCCCGCAACTAAAGTCAGATATGAGGAAAGTAAGTTAATTGGAGCTTGAAGTTTAAGATTTGAAGATTTTCGATCTTGAAGGGAAGGCAAGAGTAGATGTTGATACACTAAGAATAAGTCAAATCACGCCAAGTGGATGTTTCCTGATTGATGATATAGAAACCTTCACAAGTTAAAGATTAAAAGTCAAACTTGGAAATTCTGGAGCATGAAGAATTGGAAGGAACATAAGGTCAAATTATACAACGTGAAGGTAGTTCCGTCTACCTTTGAAGAAACAAATAGAGGACAAGTCGGGAGTTGTGGATCTGGAAGGAGTGAAGTCTAAGATAAGGAAACTTAGACCTTTTAAATGCAGGAAGATGAGAAGAAACGTTGCAAGTAGGTTGTGTATTCCTATGAAGTGTGAGAAGATTGAGAAGTGAACTATAGAAGAGGGACATTGTACACCATATTCAGTACACTTGGGAGGTGGTAACTTGTATGAGGACTTAAGGAAGAAATTTTGGTGATAAGAATGAAACAAGAGGTAGCTGAACTTGTAATCAGATAATTGAATTGTCAAAAGGTTAAGACTGACACGAGTGAACCTAAAGGACTGGTTTAATCATTGGATTTCCTTTAGAATGATGAGATTTCGTACCAATGGATTTTGTAGGAGGCTTACCGTTGCCTAAGACATGAAAGAACGAAGTTGGATTATAACCGATTGACTTATGACGGTTGCAAGACTTATACCTATGAACGAGATTTGGCCTACTGAGCAATGATCAAGGACACTTGTGGAACGTGTAGTGAAGTGTCATGGAGTGCCTCAATATGTTAATGCTGGTAGAGATTCTGACTTTTATCATGATTTTGGAGAAGTACTATAAACTGCGTTATGTACAAGTTGAAGTTGAGTTCTGCCTTTCACCCAGTTATAGATGGTCAACGTGAAGGATCATTCAACATGAGAAGACCAGTTGAAAGCTTGTGCTATAGACCTGCAAGGATCTGAGGATGAGCATTAGAATTTGATCATATTTTCTTATAATAATGGTTACCAATTGAGCATACAAAGGGCTCCTTACAAGGTTTCGTGTGGTTAGAAGTGAAGAAGTCCACTGTGCTAAAGAAGGTGTAAGTGACACATTGGTGTTAAGGCCTTGATGTTTTAAGGTACCATAAGGAAGTGAGGTTGGTTCACAAGGTTAATGAAGTCTTATGATGACAATAATAGATAACTGATTGAATTTCGAGCTAGAAGGAAGGAAATGTATTGTTAAGAAGTTTCATCTACTAAGGGAATGGCGAAGTTCGATAAGAAAAGCAAGTCAAGCTCAGGGTTTATTGGTCCATAAGAGATCTTGGAAAAGATTGGAAAAAGGGACTTATAGATTTGGACAAGAATTTAGAGTGTATTGAAGGAGTATATTCATGGTTCGTCACATGTGATTCCTCCTGAAGTCGTGAAACTGAATGTGACTTTAACTTATGAAGATAGGGCGATAGGGATCTTGGATATAAGACACGTATGAATCGAATAAGAGAACCGTCAAACTGGTCAAGTGTTATGATCGAATCGTCAAACTGAAGACATCACTTGAAGTTGAGACTCCTTGTTCCTCTTGAAGCCGAATTCTTCTCTTTTCCTTGAAAACCGAATACCCCTTTTGTTGAGAAATCCATTATGTCTTTTCAAAGCTCGTTCTTGTTTTCTTCTCAAAATGATTCTGTGCAACGTGACAACCTTATTTCCAAAGTTGTCGCCTTGATAACATTGATTCTATTCCTAACCAACGTTGTCCTTGAGTTTAAAAGTTAAACCCTTCATTCTCTTTTTCCCCGTGGGGTCTCACTTTTTAAAACTAAGTGCACCTTCTTTAAATTCATCTATCTACTACCGTTTCAGTTTTAATCCTTTATCCCCAAAATGATTAAGGGGTAGAGTGTAACACCCGTATTTTCTAAACAATATTATTTTAAATACAAATATTTTCAAAATGGAATTATTTTCCAATTACTAAATAGAAAATATATTTTTAAATCTAATTATTTTGCAATGGGCTTTGGTTGACCTATTTTTATAACTTATTATTTTTCTACAAAAATATTGTTAAGCCCAAAATGATTTTTAATCCCTAAAGTCTATCAATTATTCTAAGCCCAAAATATACATACATATATATAGTTTAACCCAAAAATAGTAACCCTAGTATTTATCAGTCGTTATATCGTGGACCGCGGTGCACGTTCAACACGGTCAAAACGGAGCCGTTTCTTTAAGTAAAGAAACGGTGCGCCGTTACAGTTAACGGAGCGCACATATTTGACGTATTAATTATCAACTGACACTATAGTGTTTCTAAACGGATACTGCCTCACATATTATTTTATATATTATCCTATTGAAACTGAAATTCAATTGAAGTGAAACTGTAGTTGTGTTGAAATGACTTTACAGTGTATCTAAAATAACACTGCCTCACGTATTATTTTTATATTATCAACTGAAACTGCAATTGAATTGAAATGAAACTGTAGGTGTGTTGAAATGAAACTGCAGTGTATATAAAATGAAACTGAATAACATTTCACATTTTTTAGTGTATATTGTGTAATTAAGCTGTAGTTATATCGAAATAATCATGTAGTTGTGTTTTAATGAAACTATGATGTATATAAAATAAAATTAAATAACATTTTCACATATTTGGGTGTTATAATATCGAATAAAACTGTAGTTATATTGAAATGAAACTGTAGTTTTATCGAAATGAAACTACAATGTATACAAAATGAAACTGAATAACAGAGTTACTTTTTGCGGAATGACGCGAAACGGTGTGAAACAGATGATGTTTCTTTTCATTAAGGAGGGGGTGTTTGGTTATTGGCTTATCAGCCAATTTTTGACTGATTTGACCATTTTCAGCTGTTTGACTTAGTCAATCAGCTGAAATGAGTGTTTGGTTAATAGCTTTTTCTTTCAGCTGATTCATCCTATAAGCTGATTTGGGAAACGCTGGGTGAGGCAGCGTTTTATGAATGGCTGGTTGTATTTAATTTCTAAAAGACAGATTTACCCATTATTCTTCTTCTTTTCTCGCCTTCTCCCCTCTCACTGTAAGCCATGGACAACACTCAAGAAAGTCTTCATCCTAAAAGTTCAGAGCACACAACAAATACACAAACTATATTTTTTATTCACAAAAAAAAAAAAATCATCCTCAAAGTTCATAACACAGAACAAATATACAAATTATCTTTTTTATTCACAAATTAAAAGTAAACAAAAAAAAAAAAAATACTTCATCCTCAAAGTTCAGAACCCACAACAAATACACAAACTATATTTTTTATTCACAAATTAAAAGTAAAAAAAAAAAAAAAACATTGAGAGAAACGAACCCAAATCTATCATCTTCATCCTTGTTGCCATTGATTATCGCCCTTCTTGTTCTTTCCCATTGCTTCTTGCCTTTGATTCTGGCTCATTTTTTTCTCCACTGCTTCGCTATTTCTTCGCATCTGGTTTGGCCATTTGGGGCAGAGGGTTAGGGATTTGATTTCATTTGAGCTGTGGGTTGGTTTGGCATTTAGGTTAAGAATGCAGGTCGGTGGGCTTGTCATTTTAATTTTAATAATAATAATAATAATAATAAATTAAATAAATAAATAAATAATGGTAATACGGGTTGTGGACTTTTGGGTTCATTTATTTAATAATAATAAATTTACAATAGTAATAATAAATAATAATTGTAATAATTAATAAATTCATTTAATAATAAATAGTAATAGTACTTATACCCTTAAAGGTCATTTTACATGCAATCATCTAATAGAAAACAGCTAATTTACCAAACACTTTTTTATAATCAGCTAATACAATCAACTGGTCAAACCAACTAACACAATCAGTTATTAAACACCAGCTAATCCAATCAGCTATCAACTATCAGCTATCAGTCATTTACCAAACACCCCTTAAATAAAACGACGTCATTTTGACACGCAGTGCATGATCGATGATGCACCGCAGTGCACGATATAATTTGCCAGTATTTATAGTCCTATATACGGAGTATATATGTTGATAGCAGCAGCGACAATACTAACCCAAAAATAGTAACCCTAGTATTTATAGTCCTGTATATAGTCAAAAAATCGGTGATGTTGGAGTAAGGCAGCAGCGACAGGCAGAACAGCAGAGGACGGCGTGTCTGGCAGCGACCTTCTCACCGGAGACCTTCTTCCCAGCATCAAGAGCAGTAGCGGTCTTCCTCCCCTGCTTTCCGGCGAGTAGGGCAGGCGACGGCGAACAGGTCGACGTGACGCAACAGCAAACCCGGCGGGCAGCAGTCCCCTCCCTCTCATCTGTTTCTGGCAGTCCCTCGGCTGGACTTCGCTCTCGCAAATCCGGCGAATCTTCTCCTGGCAGTGAGCATCGGTGGCGATGGCGATGCTTAGTAGCAGCTGCGACGAAACTCCCGCGGCGCGATCTCCCTCCTCTGGTTTCCGGGCGAGCAGGCCAGAGCTTGGACGGTGGGCCTGAGCTTGCCGGCAGTGGTGGCGTAGCAGCAACGGCTTTGCGGCGGCTTGCATAGGTGAGGACTAAGACATGTCATTGAAGCTTACTAAGATGATAATGATTCGGTGTTGTTATTGATGATGGGGATTAATGGATTTATAATTATGGATTAATTGGTTAATGATGGTTATTGAATTATGATGATGATGAGGTCATGATTATTAAATGATGATGTTATGATATGGATTATGATGTTATGGTTAATGATGATGGTTGGTGGGGATGTTATGATATTATGATGAGTATAATGATGGGGTTAAATGATTAATTATTAGTTGGTAATTAGTCATTAATGATTGTTGGATCCTTGAGTTCTAATGAACCTCTAAGAAAACAGGGAAGGTCATGGCAGGGCAATGAGGAAGAGGATTGTGGTGATTTTTTTTTTTTTTTTTTGACTCTATTACAATGCAGTATCTGTCTATTGAAGTACAAAGAGGAGTCAATATCGCCTCTCCGAGGCTCGATCCCACAACCTCTCACATAAGGGATCAACTTGACGGTGATGTTCTAAGCATGTTAGAAGGACAAACACAACGCATTAAAATGTTAACGTTCTAAGCATGTGAAAATGTAGAAGTTGAAAGTGTTGAAATATGTCAAGTTGATAGAATGGATGCTAAAATCTTTGAAGAGTATCAAAGAGTATTAAAATGGAGAAATTAGTGATTGGATTCCTACCTTGCCATGGTTTCTAGAGTTGGACCCGAGATGGAGAAAGAAGAAGAATTTGCTCTTGCTTGGATTGGTAATTCTTTGGTCTCTCAAGCCACACAGCTCTCTACCATTAATGCCACATTTTTTACTAAATTAAAAGGGGGGAAGAAAGCCAAAAGAGGGAAAGAAAAAATTGCCTATTGTTGAGGACACTTTTCACCCTTTGTCAAATGATATTTTAGAAGAATTGGAGGAGGATCAAATGGCAAGAGCACTCCAAATTTCAAGATTGGAAACACATCTTGCTCCGGGAGAAATCTCTATGCCTATAGTTCATGTTGAAAGGGAAACTCACGGCACAAGTGACAATTGTGAAGCTCACAATTCGGGTATGAATGAAGGAGTTCAAGATCACTTGAGCAATGAGAGAAATGTGGAACAAACATAAGATCAAGGTGAAATAAATCAAGTAAATGAAGGAGCTCTAATAGTTGCTACACTCGAGACTCATTCGAACGAAAGGGAAACAAATTTGGAGACTCTTTTACTTGAGATGCTCAAGAAGGTTGATGAATTGCAAGGAAGTCTAAATGCTCAAGTTGACAATGCCTCAACCACTCATTCTGAAAGAGAGGTCGCAGAGTAGAAGATTCCTACCTTAAGTCCTATAAAAACTTGCAAGAAATGGTTGAAAGACAACAAGTAATGGAGAAAAAAGTTGGCAACATTCACTCTAAGATGAAAAAGAATTTAGAAGACTTTATGCTGTAATTAATCAAGGTGATTGGAGAGGAAAGAAGAAGTGGTGAAGCCTTTACAGTGAAACAAAACAAGAATATCCTAAAGGTTGTTCATCAACATGAAAATCAATTGAGGGATGTCCATAATGAAGTTGGTTCAATTCCATAAATATCAAAGTGAGTTGCTTAAGGGGTTCGAATGATATGATGGGATTCATTCCTCCATTTATGGCTTACGTAGCATGATTATTGAGCTCATTGATTATGCCAAAAAGGGTAAAAAGAGACTCAGTCATTTATAAGGTATTTTAGCACGCAAAAGTGGACAATTAAACATTATAACATGTTTTAAAAGAGCATTTTTATAAGATAAATTTGGAAGCAAAAAATAAAAATCAAACAAACATATTTTTTCTCTTCTTTTATATTTTATGTTTTGTTAATATTATTAATTGGTGTATTTTCATTTCGGAGGTTGATACGGCGCCAACAATCGTGGATCTTGAAGCACTAAACGATCATGACATTGTGAGTTTTTACAATAAATTCAACAACTCATTGTATGCAAATTTTATTGATTGAAATAAATGTTTAATAAATGATAATTATAGATACAACTAGTTATAAATATGTGTGACAGGCAATTATAAAATTTTTAATGAATAGAAATAACCCTTAGGTTTATTTCAGTTATAAATGTGAAATGTCTCAATTTAATGCAAGAATATTGATAAATATGGAACGTAAAGTGCACACACAACACACACACGATGTATGTACAATGCACGAATGATGAACATACAGTGCACGGCTCTTGTGTAGTTTTTTCTTTTTTTTTTTTTTTTTTTTTTTGCCTGTTAGCATTTTGGATGATCGGCGGTAGAGTTGTGCATGGTGTTACAATTTTTTGTGCACGGCTAGTATTCCTTTTAGTCTTTCTAGTTTTTTAGTCTTTTATCTTGTTTTGGCTATTATTCTGAGATAGAAATGATATTTATAGGGCCAATATATATGATGAAAATATGATAAATTTTAAATAGATGATTAGATTAATGTTTTGTTAATATTATTAATTGGTGTATTTTCATTTTAGGAGGTTTAAACGCCTCCAACAATCGCAGATCTTGAAGCACTAATCGATCGTGACATTGTAAGGTTTTACAATAAATTGAACTACTCATTGTATGCGAATTTTATTGAATAAAATAAATGTTTAGGAAATGATAATTATAGATACAACTAATTATAAATATGCGTGATAGGTAATTATAAAATTTTCAACGAATAAAATAACCTTTCGGTTTAGGTCAATTATAAATGTGAAATCTCTCGGTTTAATGCAATAATATTTGATAAATATGACTGTTTCTTCATCATAAATGCAAAGTGCATGCACGACGCACGATGCATGTACAATGCACGACAGATGAACATATAGTGCATGGCCGTGCAGTGTTGTTATTTACTTTGCGTTTTTTTTTTTTTTTTGCCTATTATCATTTTAGATGATCGGCGGTAGAGTTGTGCATGGTGTTACTTTTTTGGGGGCAACGGCTAGTATTCCTCTTAGTCATTGTGATTTTTTATTCTTTGTCTTGTGCTGGCTGTTATGCAGTGATGAAATGATATTTATAGGGCCACATATATGATGAAAATTGGATAAATTTTTGATAGACGATTAAATTGTATTTTCTTTACAGTAATGTTACATCTTGTCACAAATTTTTTTCGTAATATTCATTAAATGAATTATTAATGTTATTTTATTGGATTTTTTCTATTTAATTGTTACGTGAATTTGATATTAAGAATGATGTGATGATCACATTTTTAAATTTACTTCTTAATATTATCATAGAATTACTTATTTTTTTAATAGTTGGTTTTTAAATGTATTCATTTTATCGCATGTGGTAGATAGGTCACCAATTCTTAAATAATAATAATAAATATAAATATTTTAATGCAAATTGCACGCACAATGAACATATAGTGCACGACGTGTGCAGTTTTGTTTTTCGCTTTGCATGGTGTGTTTTTTTTATTGTGGTCCGGGTCTTTCTCGTTGTGCAGTTTTGTTTTTCGCTTTGCTTTTTTTCTTGGCCTGTTAGCATTTTGGATGACAGCGGTAGAGTTATGCATGGTGTGTTTTTTTTATTGTGGTCCGGGTCTTTCTCTGTCCGTTTAACGGTCCAGGTCCACCCGATTTGCTCCGAGAGGCACAGAAGCTGGCCCAAAAGGGGTCATCACTTGTGGGAATTGAACCAGGGTTATTCCAAAATTCTCACCCACAAAGAGAACTCATTTGCCACTTGAGCTACCCTGTTGGGTTATCTTTGTGGTTTGGTTATTCTTTATCTTGTGTTGGGTATTATGTTGAAATGATATTTATCTGGCCACATATATGATGAAACTTTGATAATTTTTTTTAATAGATAATTAGATTATATTTTCTTTATAGTAATGTTACACCATGTCACAAATTTGTTTCGTAATATAATATTCATTATATGACTTATTAATGTTATTTTATTGAATTTTTTCTATTTAATTGTTTTGTAAATTCGATATTAAGAATGATGCAATGATTTGATTTTAAATTTACTTTTTAATATTATCATCTTGATATGGAATTACTTGTTTTAATTTTTTTTATTGTTGGTTATTAAATGTATTCATTTTATCACATGTGGTAGATAGGTCAATTTTTAAAAAATAATAATAAATATAAATAATTTAATGCAAAGTGCACACACGACGCACGATGCATGTACAATGCACGGACGATGAACATATAGTGCATGCCGTGTGCAGTTTTGTTTTTCGCTCGCGTTTTTTTTTTTTTTCTTGTCTGTTAGCATTTTGGATGATCAGCTATAGAGTTGTGCATGGTTTTACATTTTTTTTTTGTGCAACGGCTAGTATTCCTTTTAGTCTTTGTGGTTTGTTATTCTTTATCTTGTGTTGGCTATTATGTTGAAATGATATTTATCGGGCCACATATATGATGAAAATTTGATACATTTTTGATAGATGGTTGGATTATATTTTCTTTTACAGTAATGTTACACCCTGTCACAAATTTGTTTCGTAATATTTATTATCTGACTTATTAATGTTGTTTTATTGAATTTTTTCTATTTAATTATTTTGTAAATTCGATATTAAGAATGATGCAATGATTTGATTTTAAATTTAATTATTAATTATTAATATTATCATCTTGACATGGAATTACTTGTTTTTTTTTTTTTTTTTATAGTTGGTTATTAAATGTATTCATTTTATCACATGTGGTAGATAGGTCAATTCTTAAAACATAATTATAAATATAATTATTTTAATGCGTGCACGCACGACGCACGATGCATGTACAATGCACGGATGATGAACATATATTGCATGCGGTGTCTAGTTTTGTTTGTTTTTTTTTTTTTTGTTTTTTTTTTTTGTTTTTTTTTTATTTTTTTGCCTGTTAGCATTTTGGATGATCAGCTGTAGAGTTGTGCATGGTGTTACATTTTTTGTGCAACAGCTAGTATTCCTTTTAGTCTTTGTGGTTTGTTATTCTTTATCTTGTGTTGGCTTTTATGTTGAAATGATATTTATCAGGCCACATATATGATGAAAATTTGATACATTTTTTATACATGATTAGATTATATTTTCTTTACAGTAATGTTACACCTTGTCACAAATTTGTTTCATAATATTCATTATATGACTTATTAATGTTACTTTATTGAATTGAATTTTTTCTATTTAATTGTTTTGTAAATTCGATATTAAGAATGATGCAATGATTTGATTTTAAATTTAATTATTAATATTATCATCTTGACATGGCATTACTTGTTTTAATTTTTTTTATAATTGGTTATTAAATGTATTTATTTTATCACATGTGGTAGATAGGTCATTTCTTAAAAAAAAAATATAAATATTTTAATGCAAATTGCACCCACGACACACGATGTATGTACAATGCACGGATAATGAACATATAGTGCATGCCGTGTGCAGATTTGTTTTTCGCTCTGCATTTTTTTTTTTTTTGGCCTATTAGCATTTTGGATGATCAGCTGTAGAGTTGTGCATGGTGTTACATTTTTTTGTGCAACGTAACGGCTAGTATTCCTTTTAGTCTTTGTGGTTTGTTATTCTTTATCTTGTGTTGGCTATTATGTTCAAATGATATTTATCCTGCCACATATATGATGAAAATTTGATACATTTTTGATAGATGATTAGATTATATTTTCTTTATAGTAATGTTACACCCTGTCACAAATTTGTTTCGTAATATTCATTATATGACTTATTAATGTTATTTTATTAATTTTTTCTATTTAATTGTTTTGTAAATTCGATATTAAGAATGATGCAATGATTTGATTTTAAATTTACTTCTTAATATTATCATCTTGACATGGAATTACTTGTTTTAATTTTTTTATAGTTGGTTATTAAATGTATTCATTTTATCACATGTGGTAGATAGGTCAATTCTTAAAAAATAACAATAAATATAAATATTTTAATGCAAAGTGTATGCATGACGCACTATGCATGTACAATGCACGGACGATGAACATATAGTGCACGCCGTGTGTAGTTTTGTTTTTCGCTCTGCGGTTTTTTTTTTTTTTTTTTCGCCTGTTAGCATTTTGGATGATCAGCTGTAGAGTCTGCATGGTGTTACATTTTTTGTGCAACGGCTAGTATTCCTTTTAATCTTTGTGGTTTGTTATTCTTTATCTTGTGTTGGCTATTATGTTGAAATGATATTTATCGGGCCACATATATGATGAAAATTTGATACATTTTTGATAGATGATTAGATTATATTTTCTTTACAGTAATGTTACACCCTGTCACGAATTTGTTTCGTAATATTCATTATATGATTCATGAACAATGCACTGACGATGAACATATAGTGCACGGGTCGTGTGCAATTTTGTTATTTTCGTTGCGTTTTTTTTTTTTTTTCTTTTGCCTATTATCATTTTCTATGATCCGGGGTAACGTTGTGCATTGTGTTACAATTTTTTGTGCAACGGCTAGTATTCCCCTTAGTCATTGTGGTTTTTTATTCTTTATTTTGTGTTGGCTATTATGGAGTGTTGAAATGATATTTATAGGGCCACATATATGATGATAATTGGATAAATTTTTGATAGATAATTAGATTGTATTTTTTTTTTTTACAGTAATGTTACATCCTGTCACAAATTCTTTTCGTAATATTCATTATATAACTTATTAATGTTATTTTATTAGATTTTTTTCTCTTTAATTTTTATGTGAATTCGATGTTAAGAATAATGCGATGAGCGCATTTTAAATTTACATCTTAATATAATCATCGAATTACTTAGTTTTTTAATAGTTGGTTATTCTCTGTATTCATTTTATCACATGCATGTGGTAGATATGTCAATTCTTAAAAAATAATACGGAGTAATAAATATAAATATTTTAATGCAAAATGCACACACGACGCATGATGCATGTACAATGCACGGACGATGAACATATAGTGCATGTTAATGTGCAGTTTTGTTTTTTGCTATGCATTTTTTTTTATTGCATAATAGCATTTTGGATGATCGGTGTTTGATTTGCGCATTGGGTTATGTTTTTGTGCAACGGCTAGTATTTCTCTTAGTCCTTGTGGTTAGTTATTCTTTATCTTGTGTTGGCTATTATGATGAAATGATATTTATCAGGCCAAATGTATGATGAAAATTGAATACATTTTTGATAGATAATGATTAAATTATATTTTCTTTACAGTAAAGTTACACCATGTCACAAAATTTTTTCGTAATATTCATTATAGGGAGAAGTGTCAAATAGGCCCATTTACTATTGTCAAGTGTTCAATTCCCACTATGAACTAAGTTAAAAGCTAATTAACCACACTTACCTACTAAATTTGTTCAATTAGCTTTTTTACAGGCAATTGACTTTTTTTTTGCAGGTTACTAATTCAATTATTAAAAAAATAATTTCAAAATAATTTAAAAATTATTACAAAAAAAAAAAAAAGAAAATACACCGGCTGTCCGGCGAGGACAGCCGGTGGATGTATTATATTATTTTATTTATTTATTTTAATAATTAAATAGGTAACCTGTTAATAACCTGTAAAAAAAAGTCAATTGAATAAATTTAACTCGTGGATGGAACTATTTGACACTTAATTTATTTCGTG